TGGCCATGTTGACATAGTCCGCTTTCTGGTTGAAGTCGGGGCCAACCAGGATCAGCCAGCAAAAGATGGGTCAACACCACTACATTGTGCAGCAGTGTTTGGCCATGTTGACATAGTCCACTTTCTGGTTGAAGTCGGGGCCAACAAGGATCAGCCATCAACAGAAGATGGTTCAACACCATTACATTTGGCAGCCCAAGAAGGCCATGTGGACATCGTCCGCTTTCTTGTTGAAGCTGGGGCCAACAATCAGCCAGCAATGGATGACGGGACAACACCACTCCATGATGCAGCTGAAAGAGGTCATCTTGACATCGTCCGCTTTTTGATTGAAGCTGGGGCCAACAAGGATGAGCCAGCAACGAGGGACGGGTCAACACCATTGCACCTCGCCACGCGAGAGGGGCACCTTGGTGTTGTTCGATTGCTGGTTGAATCTGGTGCGGATATTGAGAGAACCAGCGAAAGTGGAGCAACTGCCTTAGATGTGGCATCTGCACGCGGCCATGGGCAACTTGTTGGCTTCCTGGCTTCATTGGCCAAAGAGCCTCCCAAGACGATTCGTAGAGACACGCAGTGACCAGATCCAAGGACACGGCTGAAAGAGGTGAACTGCAGCATGTTTAGATCGCACCGCAGGGGCTGGTGTAGATGGTCATACTATGTCATACTGTCAAAATGGGTTTAGTGTTTGTACTGAAACAACACATCAAATTAACGGTTAAGTTACCCCAATTCCATCAGATTCTCATCATTCTTCATCATGTCTCATCATTTGTTAAATCATCGTTGTTGCTAATCATGTTTTTTTTTTTACCCGGATTCTTCTTTGGGGCTGACAAAAAAGGGTGTTTTTGGACCGCCAAAGATTTCAAACATTTCTCGTACCCTCTGGTAATCACAAATGGCTGGGAAACCCTACAGATTTCATGGGCATCTAACAATGTGGGACATCATCGAACTACAGAACTACATGTTTTTTTTTCCAGCGAGCCATATTTGACCCATATTGGGTACCCCAAAATCTCATAGTCATCATAGTCCAATGGCCATAGTCATGGCAGGCCGAATTCCTGGAGACTGGGTGGGATCCCAGGTACATGATGCGAGACATGCCAGACGGCTCCAGACAGCCGAGCATCATCTACAATGGCTTCTTAGGCAGGGTAGTAGTGGAACATAGTGGAACATAGTGGAACCAGGTAGCATCGTTTTTTGTGGTCTAAATTACTATAGATCCACTTGGCTGTCTGATAAAAGTTGAGGCTTCTGGTTACCTGGTTGGGTTTCTGAGATTCGAGCAATCTTTGAACCTGTCGAGGTTCTCCAAGTCTTCAAGACCCCCACCGCAGCAATGGCAGGAGTTATATAGAACTCTTGTTGAGCAAAGCAAACCTTATTTTGATCGCGGATCCAAATATATCAAAGTGGTAGTCCTTCAGATGAAATGCCGTATAACTGCATACCACTATTCTACAAAGCGCAACTCATTGCAGAACATTACAGGAAATCCGAATAGGCTTCATTCTCTACCGTGCCTCATGTCTTGGATGATCATTTCCAAAAATTCTGGGTCTGATAGATCAGCTGGTAAGGACAGGGTGGTTATGGTAATTAGTAGTCATTGTTGGCTTTACTTGTGATCCCATTCCCCTAATCTTGGACATTCCAAATATCTATGGTCCCAGGCATATGTGGTTTCCCCATGGTTTCCCCATCACCTACATCCACTGGCTGCTTTTCGGGGGATGGGATTGATCCGCAGGCGATGACTACCAGCCCTTGACTCTGGATCTTGCCATGCAGCACTGGCTCCGCGCTGGCGGAGTGCGCCGCGTATGCTCAGGGCATTTGACACTTGTCTTGTGCTAAACCACTGGCGAAGTTTCGGGTTGCTGATCCACTGGCGAACTATCTATCGCAGATCATCCCAGCAACCCCCAGCAAGCCATCCAGCAACCCGACACGTGAAATGCACGCACGCACCAGTTGTTGGTTTCAGGGAATCCAATCCCCATCACATTCAGCCCCCAGAGGCACCATAGTTTCATGAGGGATTTTCAGATTGGGACCACAGGATATCGCCTTTGTAGACATGGGCACTGGGACCATCATAAAAATACGCACATTTGGAAAATCATTTGTCACTTGCCAGCCTTGCCACGTGTGATGACCAGAGGGTCATGACCAAGAAACAAACCTGTTTTTTTTTCTCAGTATTCCTTTTTTCTTTTCCAGATACTGCAGAAGTCACTGCTTGGAAGCGTGCAAGTTCTCAGTATTCAAAGATATTCAAAGTGAATATTTGACCTCTGGAAGTGTTTTTTTTGATTCAACAGAGATGAAGGGAGGACAGGAACGGGGATCTCCCAAGGCCTCACGGCGATTCACCTCTGATTCTTCGATTCGAGGAGATCTCGAGATCCGGATCCATTCGGTCAAGGGTTTTGGAGAGGTGTCGATGGTACCTATGGTACCAGAGCATGGAAAATCACCATGCTTTTAATGGGAAAATCAACTATTTCTATGGGTCATTTTCAATAGCAAACTGTTAGTTTACCAGAGGGTATCTACTGCAGTATTTATTGTCTGGTTTTACCTGCACAAGAGAAGCTTTCGGGAAGAAACCCATCGTTCTCAACACTGATTTGTTAGTAACTGTTAGTGGTTGACAACAGGGGTCCATCCCATCTCCATCCCACTTACGGAGGAGGTGGTTGCCATTACTGCTGACATCTCCTATGCAGATGTAGTCCCTTGACCGGAGGTCGCAGGGCGGGTTTTTGGCCTGGCTTGTACACATCTCTGGATGCGTATCAAGCTTCCAATCTTTTTTGGATTACCTTGAGTCATGGTTCCCCACCGGAAGTGCCTCCCAACTGACACGTCATATCATATATATAGCCCCAACAATAGATTAAGACAAGTGGGAAACCTGGAAATATCACCTCCCGGAAAGTTTTAAAAAATCTTTTTGGCCCTTACTATACAATTCACCAGCATTTGTTTGACCACGCCAAAGTAAACATATCAGCAGTACATTTTGTTTTGGGCATCTCTGCCAAAAAACAGGGCAGGAAAACCCAACCTTAAGGATGATGATGATGATGATGATGATGATCTGATGATCTGATGATCTGATGATCTGATGATCTGATGATCTGATGATCTGATGATCTGATGATCTGATGATCTGATGATCTGATGATCTGATCATCATCATCATCATAATTATCGATATTATGAAGGTCTTGTTATCATCTTTCAGTCGTATCATCATTTCTATCGTCAAATCACAGTATGAATGCCATGGTTTTCAGCCAAGGTGAGCTGGCCGGGAGAGGTGACCGAGGGAAGCCAGGTCTGCGAGGTGCTCCTGGAGCCACAGGACGGCCGTGGAATCCAACATAGCCTTTGGAAACATATAGACATAGCTATAGAAACATATAGAAACCATGGTCCATTTGCAAAAAAAACATGATTTACCTCATCAAAACACATTTTTTTTCGTTCGCAAGCCTTTTTTCTTCTCATTTTGGGAGGGGGACTCTTCCATCGGGCAGGAGACGTTGGTCCATGGCTGCTTGACCACTGGGCACAGCTACGAAGCAAAACTTTCTGACCCCGAGATCGGGCAGTTGGTGGATGGTTGGCGATGCTCGGCGATGGGGTGAGAAGCTTCGACCCAATGGGTTTTTATTTGGGAAATTGGCAATCTGAATGGGAGATATTTGGGAAATACTGGGAAAATGATATTGATCTCTTGGGATTGGGGATACACAATGTTCAGACTTATTTTTTTGAACCGTTTCTGGGTCGTTTCTGGGGTTGGCTGATTTTACCGATGCGTGATGGATCCTAAATTTGAGATGACGAAGAGGTGGGGTACTTCCAGCCGCTCCGTCCACCACTACATCCGTTTGAGCGATGCTGTTTCCAGGGTGCCTTCAAGCAACCAGGAAAGTTGATTCTTTGCAAGGGGAACGACGGTAGTTCAGTGGGTTTTTAGGACTTCTATAGGGAACAAGCTTGGTTCCCAGGTTCTAAAAGGACCCTGACACCCTAGGTTTCACATCAAAATAGTCTGCAAGTGAGTGTTCACCCCCAATTCAAACGGAAAAACCAGGATAAACCACCTCCATCCACCTCCCCAATGGAAAAACCCATGGTCAACCATAGATTTTGACTCCCGATTTGTACGAAAAAACGCATGGTCCAGGTGTGAAGGGTCGCCTGGCTGACGGCCGATTGGTCCTCAGCCGCAACGAAGGTTGGGACTTCGAGGGTTCCTTCGCGCCGGCGGGAAAAAAAGAGGCTGCAGCCACCGGTCATCCGGGTTCCCCAAGAACCGGGAGAAACATGGGGAAAAACTGAGCCAACCAGCAAACATCATCAAACATATGGATTTCATGAGTCTAGTGGGTCTCTTGAGTCACCTTTTGCTCAGCTTTTTGCTCATTGGCCATGAGGAATGAGGAGCCCAGGTGGAGAACCCATTGGAAATGGCCGATGACCTGATGCCCATAAAATGCTCCTAGATCTCCGGCTCAAAACCGCGGCTTCGACTTGTTGCTCTTCTCAGCTATTGAGGTGCACCGATGCTGGATGATGTGGGAAAGGGGGTATATATATATACCCGGATTGGGGTACCAGACTACCAGACCCAGATGGTGAAACTTAGCATTAAAATCTTGACTTTTCACCACGGCATCGTGAAAACACAACCTGATTTTCATGGATCTACGACGCCAATTCCAGCCAGCGACTTGAAAGTCGGTGGGTCTCTGTCACCTTGAAAGTGTGTCTACAACTTCATAGACATACAGAAGTGATACAGAAGTGAAATACTGAAATTTGACATACTGGAAATCTATATATATATATAGAATGGAAAGGGGGAATATTACACACCATCTTGGCTTTGTAAATCCAATTTCCACTGTGTAATATTCCCCGCCAAGAAGCCAATGATCCCAGCACCGGTGTATCCCGTTGAGGCAATGGCTGGCCAGATGTTTGTGGTCAAACGCGATGGCCGTTCGCAGGATGAAATCTCGATTTTTTAGGCATCACCTGAGATGAGCCAAACGTTCACATGATGGATGTTGATTGTTTCCTAGTTTCTAAAGATTGTGTCTTAGTTTCTAAAGATTGTGCTACCATTTATGGGAGATGTTTCACCAAGATGAGTTTTCTTTTACAAGTAGTGATGAATCAATGAATCATAGGAGGTGAAAGTTTGATGCGCCACTGAAAATCCAGGAGGTGAAGTTTGACAACATCACGAAGCGTATTCGAACCCTGTGCGATGGCTTGGATCCTCGCTTCATTGACCCCGTGCCCGTGACACAGAAAGTGGTGGAAGGCGCGGCAGTTTTTTGGCGCTGGGCGGCCTCAGGTGGCCGCGGGCTTTGGTGAAGAACTTGCCCACACCATTCGTCTTTGAGCCAGCTGGACATTCAATTGACAAGAATTATTTTTGCAATATGAATATACCATGGAAGTGTTATAATTAATGTGTTAGTTTAAGTTGTATATATATATATATATTATATTCTCATATTTTTCTGGTATGTAATTGGTGTAATAATGAGTAATTAACAAAAATAAATAAGTAAACAAATAAATAAACACATACACACACACATATATATGTAATATATATATATGACTGTAACACCACCTAGCTATCTCTTGAGTTCCCAACAAACTCATGTGGTAAACTGAATGCCGTAAACCTACCATGACTGGGCATGGTTTTTCAAAACCAGCCATGAAAATGGTGATGACTTGGGGATACGATGAAATTCTGTGAATCCCACATGATTTCTTGGTTTCCCCCAGCAACTGGAACCTGAAGATCCCCTTCCCAGCCTGGAGGGCAGCTGAACGGCAGGCTTCTACAACGGCATCAGCACGGCGCAGATCGATACCTTGGCGGCCGAGACCTGCGCCTACATGTCGCAGAAGCACCCGGACTTCTCGACCCTGGCGGCACGCATTGCGGCGTCCAACCTGCACAAGTGCCTGGGATGAAATGGGGGGGATGCGATGGGGATGATGGTTGAACTGGTGCGTTTACCCTCTGGTAAACTAACATAGCTATTGAAAATGCTAGAAATAGTGGATTTACCCATTAAAGATAGTGATTTTCCATTGCTATGTTAGTTTACCAGAGAGTAAGTGTTTTTATTGCCTTTCAAGGAGTTCTGGAGTGGCCATGACTATTGTGGATTTGATCCGCGGAAACTTGCCCGAAAATATGGGAGTTGAACCAATGGAAGATGGGAAAGATCAACCTGTACCAACCAGTTGCCATTCGAAAATCCCTGAAAAACATATGGATGACTAAAGATGCACACGGTGCCGATGAAAGATCTATCCTTAGGGCAGCTGCAGCTGTGACAACATATCCCCTGGCAACTGTGGCCGGCTTCCACGGCCTTGCCCTTCGCTTGGTCCAACGGTTCCAATGATTCGAATGATTCCAATGTCCGGTCGCCTGGTGTTTGAAAAACGACGTGTTTTGATGAAGCCTATCCAGCTGTGAGACAGCTAGGTGGACAACGAAGTCGGAAGGCACCAGCACCTGTCCAGTTTGGAAAGTCGACCCATCCTAGCCCTTACCCCATGCGGACACGTTGTGTGCCAGCAGTGCCAGGGATCTCGCCAATTTCGTCAGTGCCCAATGTACTGCGGGGATGTCACCGGAGCGATGATGATGAAGTTGAAGTCTAGTGCCCAAGCACAGGATTGCTACACACACACACACACGCCTATTCAGGCTCCAGAGTCAAGATCTTGATAAGATGCGGAAAGCCGCATTGAAGCTGTCAACAGACGGTTCATCGCAGCATGGGCCCAAGTCTGCGCCTGGGAAAGAATATCACCAACATGCTGTACTGGGTACAGTCGATTGGCATCACCAATCACTCTTCAGCCAATTAAGTTGCCACTCTTCTGGCATGCGGTCATTCTATGATGGCCAAGCACCATCTGCACTCAATTCGGTGGCAGGCCCATGCCCATCACGTATTCAAGTGAACCGTTGGTAGCCAGTGGGAGGACAGTATGACCGAGGCAAAGAGGCAGCCACGGTAGACGGCCTAAAGAAGAGCAGCCGCCAAGTGCGCGCAGCTAGCCATCCAGCCGCTAGCAAATGCCGAAGCTCACCTGCATCATAAAAACTGGGCCAAGCCACCAACCAAAACTGTTGCCTGGGTCACCTCATCTCTGTCGAAGCCAAAGTATACCACACATCAGGCCTGGATCGATCCAGGCTTGTAATCCACGCTTGTAATCCACGCAACCATCAGGGGAAGCTACCCAGGTAGCCACCCCCCGACCAGGGAGGTATTTCTCATCCGGAGCGATGAAGCCGGATATCGGGCCAATTCCCACGCAGCCCAGGCCATGGCTGCGCCCCCCTCCCGGGGGGATGACACCGGAGTCACAAAAGCTTTGTTCCTTTGAGGTTACCGATGGTTTGACAAGGAATAGCTGATATTGGAAAGAAAGGCACGTTTCGTATGCCGTGCTTTGCGGCATCGGCTTTGCCTGTGCATGGTTTCTGATGCTGTGGGAGGGCTCCTATGTTTTCTCTCTGACTGACGTGTCCCTTCTGCTGGTGGAAACATGTGAGAGAATTATCAGCGTGCGAACATTAGTCGATTGAATTTGGAGAGTGAGCTTGCCCAAAGCAGTATTAATGGAACATGGAGGTTAGGTTCAATGCCCACAAGAGGCCTATTGAAGGACACACACCAGGAGATGCCAAGGACAAGACCAGGGTCTCTATTTCTGACTTGGGGAGCTTCAACACACCAATTTGGTGACCACTTGCACTCTTCCGCTGGGGGTCATCCTCCAGATCAAGGGGATGGGCTCAAGCTGGCTTGTTGATGGAGATTTATCCCTTTATATTGGTGATTTCACACTAGTAATTAATCTCATCAATTAAGCAATCCCTATGGATAGCTATTGATATTTTTCTTGAAAATCACTGATGCTAATTGATACCAGCTAATACCTTGATACTAGTAGACATTATAGTTGATACGATGATCCTACTTGATAACTATTGATACCAATTTTATCCTTGACCCATTATGATTTCAATTGATCCGCTTCCAGGAACACCTCCGAGTCCTTCTACGAGACCTGCAAAATCCTCTTCGGCTACACCGATCCACAAGGTCGGCCTGCAGCCTTGCTGTCACAGGACCCAGGGCTGCCGCTTGGGTCCATGTTTCCGGAAGCAAAGGTTCGTAAATTGAACCGGGCAAACATTTTTTTTAAACATCTCGCTAATTCGGTTGTCAAATCCCTTTAGTAAACTCCTCATTTTCACTGCTTAGGTTCCAAACTTCAGCTTCCCCAATGTCAGATCGTTGGAGACACCCAGACGATGAACCTCAGACGTTTTGAGGACGTTTACGACTTCGTGGAGAAGAACGCGACGGAGTTGGATGCAGCCATCGAATACGACCGAGATTTGGGCTATGACTACTTCGGTCCCTTGCGACGGGGGATTTTTGAAGGGATTGATATGGGGCTTTCGGGGGGGGATCGATGGTCGTCACCATGGGTTAACCGGTTAACCTATGCGAGTCGTCATGGTCATCCATGACTGGATGATTTTAGGTACCCATGACTTGGGAAAACGCCAAAGGAATGGTTGGATAGTTTGGAGGCCTCCAAAATGTGGATGCAGCAGCTTCACATCTCCTCATGTTTTTGGTCCTGTTGATATGTGGCGGCTCAACTGATCCGAATCCCCCAGAGGATCCTTGATGTTCCTAGCTAACTGAACCTCCATGACGTGGCGGCCACGGGCTTTCCCAGCTTGCCATGTTTGCACGCAAGCGCAACGCGCGGTGGTATTTCTGAGGTTTCAAGACCTTGGAGAAGTCGTACTTGTTGCGGGTGCACGGCAAGATCGTGGAACGACCTCAACACATGATCATGCGCGCGGCTTGTGGCATCCACTGTGGCGATCTGAAGAGCGCGTTGGAAACCTATGACTTGATGTCCAGGTGGGGGCTGAGTTTGGTGATGGCATGTGGTATACCCTCTGGTAAAATAACAGTTTGCTATTGAAAATGGCCATTTATAGTGGATTTCCCATTAATAGCATGGTGATTTTCCATAGCTATGTTAGTCATTAACAGAGGGTAAACACCATGATGGTCCAGATCCATGCTTCGGTGGGACAGTTCACCCGCTCCAAGGAAGTTCTTCACCCATGCGACCCCGACCTTGTTCAATGCTGGTACGCCTCATCCGCAGATGTCCTCGTGCTTCTTGCTGAAAATGCAGGGGGACAGCATCGATGGCATCTATGACACCCTGAAGCTATGTGCCGTGATCTCCAAATCTGCTGGTGGCATTGGAGTGGCCGCACCTTGGCTGAGATTAACCCCCCCACAGGGCCGGCCCAGGGCCCAAATTGGGCAGCAGCTACACTTAGTCAATCGGCCAGTTTTGAAGGATAAACATCAATCCAACCCTTGCCAAAAGCCGACACCATATTGTTTTAATCCCCAGCTGATGGAATCACAAACTCGAACTAGGAGTTTCCAGATTTTGGCTAGGATTCCTGGACGGCCAGTTGAATTCTTCGTCATTGTGAGGTCTTTCAAATCCTCCTATGATCTTGGCACTTTTCCCCTAAACACCATGTTTTTTTTGTACATGATTGGTGCATTGAATCCTCCATAAATATGAGCATCAATCGGAATACGAAGCAGCCATGGTGCCATGGTCAGGTTTCCAACATCCGCGCCAGTGGCTCCTACATCCGCGGCACCAACGGCCACAGCAATGGCCTGGTGCCGATGCTGCGGAACTTCAACGAGACGGCCAGGTATGTGGATCAAGGTGCCGTGGGGGAATTTCATGGGGCCTTGACGTTGACGTTGAGGGGAGAACATTGAGATGTCATATCTCCAAGGGGTTGGCATATTCTCTGGATGTGGTGCTATGAACATCGAGATGATTTGAGGCAATTGGTCGCATAATTGTTGCCAGGTGGAGGTAAGCGCAAGGGAGCTTTGGCAGTCTACCTGGAACCATGGCATGCCGATGTTTTCGAGTTCTTGGAGCTTCGTAAAAACCATGGCAAGGAGGAGCAGCGTGCCAGGTGCGGATGGGAAGTGTTTTTGGGATTCCAAAGCCATTTCTGTTGTTTGCTAATATTTGTCTCAACCTCTAAAAAGCCCGAGATCTCAACTCATTTTGCCTTGGCAACGTGAAAAACAAGCTGGTACCATGGCTATCCGCGAATCGCTCTCAGGGATCTCTTCTATGGCCTTTGGGTGCCGGATCTCTTCATGGAACGTGTCAAGGCGGACGCGGACTGGACCCTGTTTTGCCCCAACGAGTCCTACGACGACGAGACCGGGAAGGGCTTGATGGATCTCTTTGGCGAGGACTTCAATCGGCTCTACCTGAGCTTGGAAGCTGCGGGGAAAGGTCGGAAGACGGTGAAGGCTCAGCATTTGTGGTCGCGCATTGTGGAGGCGCAGATGGAGACGGGCACTCCTTACATGCTGTACAAGGCGGGCATTTTTTGTGGGATGTCATGGCTGTATTGTAGATAGGACATATTTTGATCGTATTTTGATCATATTGATGTTTGTTTTTTGATTTCATGACTTTCATCAAGACCAAAACTGACTCATTCACCTAGCATGGATGCCATTGAAACCACTCTTGCCGGGAGGATCATGCCAATCGCAAGTCCAATCAGCAGAACTTGGGCACCATCCACTGCTCCAATCTGTGCACGGACACTGGGACGTTATCGGGCCAATTTTGAGGTAGGTTCCAAGTAGAGTTCCAAGGAATTCTAAGTGAAAGTTCAGTTCGTAAAGCTCTGGGGGTACAAGATGTGACCTAGGTCCCTAGGTCTTTTTAGAGAAGCTTTGGGGGTCTCCGGGGTCTCCATTTCCCAACCCAGCTATTCTCAGGGTTTTCAAGGCCAGGCCAAACAACGGTGCAGGAGATCATCGAATACACCGCCGACGACGAGGTGGCGGTCTGCAATTTGGCTTCCATCGCCTTACCGACCTTCGCCAACACCGAAGGACGTCCCTATGACTTCCAGAAGCTCTACGAGGTCAGTCGTTGGTCGGTCGGGTTGGTGGGGGCATTCAACGTTTGAAAAGGGACTGGTGACCAGTGACCAGTTGAGCTTCCTTCATTTTTGAGCTAAAATGCAGTTGAGTATTGGATCCAATATCTCCAATCTGTACGCATTGATTGGAGGTGTTCTTCGTATGATTGGGTGATATTGGGCGATGGCATGGCCTAAGTGGGCTTGATCTGACTGCATTTGTGAGGTGACTAAGGTGGTGACCAAGAATCTGAACAAGGCACCAGGGCGGGGCTCTGCACCTGGCTGAGTTGCTCCAAAATCCGCTGCTTCGGAAAAGAGTATGGCCACCGAAAATAGCCAGAATGTCCCCTCCGAATTTGTGGCGTGATGACACATTTTGAGACAAACCAAGAGAATGTCTTCAGTGACTTGGCTTTTCTTTCCGCTCTGAGGTTCAAGAGTTGGTACAACCTGTTTCTGATTTCTCCACAATTTCCCACGCAACAAGTGTGGCTGGGCCTTCCCACGTTACCTTGCGGCAGGTCATTGACCGGAACTACTACCCCGTGGAGGAAGCCCGACGTTCCAACATGCGACACCGACCTGTGGGTTTGGGGGTTCAGGGTCTGGCCGATGCATTTCTGATGATGATCCTTGGAGATGAGTGGCGCGGTTGCGGGAAATATATGGAAATGTGGTATTTGACTGGGCAGGTGGTGGGTATGTGGTGGCAAATGGTAAAGATATATCCTTATGGATGATTCTTGTGTGGCATTCTTGATAACTGGGATGGTAGCCCAAAGAAGACTTATATAATTCACTCTTGGGAAGGAATTGACTAAGTTGGGTGTGTGTCACTTCGAGAAACTTTCCGAGTTGGCTCGGTGTCGTTGCCTTGGTGGCTTGTGATGTCCAAGGAAGCTGCCTTTCGAAAGCGAAGCCGCACGAAGATTGAACGAGGCGGGTCCAAACACGCCATGTCGGAACATTCTGGTTGGTGGTTTGGAACATTTTTTTCCATATATTGGGAATAAAAATCCCAACTGACTTTCATATTTTTCAGAGGGGTTGAAACCACCAACCAGAAACTTTGAAGGCAGTAGAAGTCAACGAATTCCCACGCATGATGAAGCCGCTGAACCACCACACAGTCCAGAGTGGACTCAGAGACCGGGTGGTCTTGGAATCTTAGGATCTCCTATGACAGGGATTGTCAAGGCCTCAATTCTGGGTTTCCGCAGTAGATGGCCATCTATCCTATTGACCAGTTAGTTGATACGCGCCACTTTTTTTGGTTCACATCCCTCATTCTTGGTTGTTCATATCACTCAGTGTTGCTACTTAATGAACATCCTGGATATCCCAAATTGTTGATTGATTGATCTTCCCGAACCCCCAAGGCTACTTTCCCCAACTAGTGCCTATATCCGGATTATCGAGTGTGAAGATACCAGATTATGGCACCATTTTTAATGGCCAGTTATTCATTACATCCCCATGATTGTTTATCATATTCCCATTCTTGTTGGCAAATCCCCACGCATTTCTTTTTCCCAATATCCAAACCCCAAATATTGTTTATCACTGATCACTGTCTTTGTCCTTCTTAGTTGATATTCACATATCTCTCCTTCAATATTTTTTCCATCGCTGCATTTCCGGAGATTGGATGAGCAGCTCGTATGGGTCAAACTTCGCTATCCCAAGAAAATTGCATGTACTATCATATACTATCATCATCTATCATATACTTACCTTCCTATCATGGTCCCCCAAAAAAGTCTACGGTCCCGAATATGTCTTTGACATCTTTGACATATCTTAAACGGCCACTTCGAATGGATGTTAGTCCTCTTCATCCCATCCTGAAACTGAAGAAATCAGCCAGCATCCTGAAGGATTTTATGGGACATCTACCGGAAACTATAGTTTTATGATGTGTTATTTACGATGCTTTATTGTTATCTACAATATAATGATATATATATATCTCTCTCTCTATATATACATTATATAAATATAATATATATATATTTATAAATATAATATATATATATATATATATTATATAAATAATATATATATATATTATAAATAATACATATATATATAGATAATATATATATATAAATAAATATAATATAAATGTATATATATATTATAATATATATATATATTAAATGATGTATAGATTTTGTTTCAATGTAAAACAAGAGACAACCCCTCAAATCAATCCGTTCCGCATGATTTTTCATCATTCTACGGTAGCTAACCCAAAAAATCCCCAAAAACATCAAGAACTTCACCACTTCAAAAAATCGGACTTCGCTCATCCCCTCTGGGGCGGATTTTCTCGATCCAGGACATCTTCGAGACCATCTACTTCGCAGCCTGCGAGGCCTCCTGTGAATTGGCAGAGCTCTATGGAGCCTATGAGACGTATCAAGGGAGCCCAGTGTCTCAAGGCGCGGATCATGGGGTTATGGGGACATGGGGTCATGGGGAAAAACGCTTGCTATCCTGTAGATGTTTCTGGAGAAAGGCACTCTAGGCTGTATGGGAATGTTTGAAAACTGTTGGGGCTTCGGAAGTTCCGAAGGAGTTGCAGAAGTAGTCACCAAACTGGAGGCTGGAACCCACACCTTGGCAGAACAACCGACAAAAAACCACTAAATTGATGTGTTTCATAGGCATTCAAGATATCATAGAAGCTTGACTACTTCTGCGACTCCTTTGGAACTTTTGAAACCCCAACAGTTTTCAAACATTCCCATACAGCCTAGAGTTTAAACATAGCCCCAGCTTTCACCTCTGAATCGCCTTTGAAATCATGCCACGCTGTCTGAAACGCAGGACAGCTGCAGTTCGACATGTGGGGCGTTCAGCCCAAGAGTGGCCGATGGGATTGGGCCAAGCTCAAGGCACGTATCTCGCAGAGCGGCCTGCGGAATTCCTTGTTGGTAGTAGCTTGTTGCGCAAATGTTGGGTCTGAAAGGATGGGATGAGGTGAAAATTTGAGGTGACCTGGATCATGAAACCATCGAACTTTGGGGCTCAACACCTTGGAACCTTTGAACCATACACCGTTCGCATGCGGGGCTTCCTGTCCTCTAGTTGTCCGTATCAAATTTGGATGCGAACAGATGAACCAGTTTTGCCCCAAATTTCCAAAATACATTACCATTACATGGGAACCCACATTTTTCTCAAAAATCTTAACCCCCAAAGCATTGGTGTCCAATCATCAAATTGGATGAGTACCTTGTTAAGAACCCAACCAAATGCTGGATTTGCTATGGCATATCTGGCATATGATAGATGGACATACAATGTCATAGATGGTACCCAATTTTGGATTATAGATTGTATTTAACAGATGGTACTTATATGGCATATAATAGATGGTTTGTAATAGATGAAAGCGTAATATGGTCCTAGATTTTGCTGAACATGATGTTGTTTTCCCGTCCGTCAATCCACCAGCAACGGGAAATCTACTGGGATGTTTTTGGTGAGTTGTGGTCCCAGTTCATCAGCAAATCCAAGTTGAAGGATGTTAAGTTCATGTCAAACTGGCCCATAATCCCATTATTGGTTAACTTACATATCTTACATTATAAGTTAACTAATGGTTACTAGTGATTATCCCCATATTTGGTTGACTTATAACACATCGCGACGGCGCTGGTAACATCAGGCCACTAGTGAGCCAGCGAAGCGGCGACTATAATTAAACGATCCATTCCCGAGCCATGGATAAAATGCATGGATGATTTGCTGGAGAAATCATGACTATAAGTACTACTATAAGCATAGCATAGCATATTCAGAAAAATCATCATATATCACATCATATGACATCATTCATGATCATAATATCACAATATGATATCCACATCATATCAAAAATCTGGATACTGCTCTGTATCATGATGTTCATGATCATATTATAGCCATATCATCTAATTAGTAATAGTATATATTTATTTATTATAGCCCTTATCATCTAATCATTATAGCCACATTAAATATTATGTAATATATCTATACCATAACTAACTATACCATAATTAACAAGCCCATATAATATTATCACATTATAGCTCTATAGTTGCCACTTGATAGTAGCTAGGCCATATAAAATTTTGATATTATGGCAACTTTATAATACTATCAATGGCTGAAACATTATAGGCCTATAATACTATAATTATAACGCTATCAATTATAACTCTATCATAATAATGGGAATTTCAGGATCCTAAAATGGAGGTACTGTACCATATAAGACCATATTTTATGGGGATATTCCCTTACATAGGCCTTACATAGGCCTTACTATAATAACTATAATAACTATAATAACTATACTGGACCATAACTATAATAGTTATTATAAAATACATAATCCACTATGATCCACTTTTAATAACTATTTTATAGTATTATAACTTTAATAACTATAGTGGATAACTATAATAGTTATCATATTTATTCAGCCATTAATGATCCACTTTTTCAATCGCGGCTTCCGTTTTTCACGATGTCCGAGGCGCCAATGCCCACGGCCTCCACCGCACAGATCCTGGGGAACAACGAGTCCTTCGAGCCCTACACGTGCGCGAGCGGTGATCGATGGAAGGGATGGGAGAAATCATGGGCTTATATGGGTGTGTCTGAAAATGTTGTGTACCCCTTTTTACCCAATGGTTTTGCTGATCATTATCCCAAAAATAAATGGCTATTTCATTGGGAATATAGCCTATTTTCAGACAAACCCATATGGAAATAATGGGCTTAGTAACATTTTATGGGATGATCACATTTCCATATGGGGATGATTACTATGGAAAATGGGGATGATAACATGAACATAGAAAACAACTATTTTATGGACATGGGGATGATTATTCAAATGGGATGTTTTATAAAAACTTCATGGGATGATTTATATTCAATATCATGGGGATACTTGGTTCCAAAAAACAGCCATTGCCAACGCGTTTCTACACAATGGTTCTCAACTTCTCCGTGGCTGAAAAACTTCAAAGTTGTCATCCAAACTTGTTGTTGTCTTTCTGGTGCTCAGCAGGGAATGAGGGAATGATCCACAATAACTATCAATAATCATCCCATTCCCCCATTCCCATCCATTCCCTACGTTTAGCACCAGTAAGTTGTAGGCCTTCAAAAAAAACAGCAATTGTTGTTGGCATCGGACCAATGCACTCGCTTCAACATTGATGTCAGGGGGCGTGGGGGACTTTGAGCATAACTTGTGACACTGTGTCGGATGGCTGTTCTTTTTTAAGAACCCGGTATGATGATTTGCTTATGGAGTTTAGTGACAACATATTTAAAGTTTTGATCTGGTTTCATGGTCCAACAGTTCAACTTTTGGACGCAAAATGAACCATGGAGGAATTTACCCAATTTACCCATGGGTATACCCACGGATGGACAGAAATTACACCCTTGATGAAGTGTCGATGATATCATGGTTCACACTTTTCAAGGTATCTAAGACCAGCCCAACTTCTGAATGGAAACAGGATGGAGTGCTCCACATTTGACGGAAAACTGGATGACATTTTGACGGGTCTTCCCAACAGTTTGATGCTTCAATGGATGCTAACCCCGACCTGTCGTTGGGTGTCGGAGGCAAAACCTCTATGTGCGCCGTGTGCTCTCGGGAGAGTTTGTTCAGGCCGCAACGTGGAAGTGTGGGGTAACTTGGAAGTGTGGGGTAACTTGGAAGTGTAGTTCCAGTATGTTCCAGTTAGAAATGAATATATACCCTCTGGTAATTTAACATAGCTATTGAACATGACCCATTTATAGTTGATTTTCCCGTTAATAGCATGGTGATTTCCCAGTTCGTTATGTAAAGGTTTAGCAGAGGGTAACTTATATTTCGGCATAGTTTTTTTGCCTATAGCGGTTATATCCCAACTCATTGGGGGTTTGAGTTAGAAGCCATGGTTATACCTACATTTGCAACCGGTGGCCTGCGGGTACCCAATACGTCACCATGGTTGTTTCAATACGATCCGTCATGGTCATCCATGACGACTGGATGATAACTGGGGTACCCAACCATGACTGGATGGAAACTTCCAGCCATGTGGATAGCATATGATTGGAATATAATTGGGATATAATGGTGGATAGCATATTTATTCCACCTGGATTATTCCATTCCATATGCTTGGGATATAATGGGGTATTTCTGGCTTCCAACCACCTATTTCAGGCGCGATGCTATGTGAATTCATGAGCGAATGCTTGAAATGGACAAATCAAGGAATACCTTTCTGCTACCCTACGGCAATCAAACATGGTTAGCTGGGAAATCGTCTGTTTTACTTTGATGGTTTTCCCAGCTCTAAAATGCTATAACCTCCATTTTGATTGCGGAGTGGCCATGTTTGATAAGACCGGAGGGTATCATATATTTGTAGGTGGGTATATATATAATATACGTATATATACGTATATATACAATATACTATAATATGATATAATAAAATATATAATGTAATATAATATGATATGATATAATATAATACAATACGAAATACGATAATATAATATAGTATAATATGAAATAATAAATATAATATAATATAATATAAACTATAATATAATATAAACTATAATATAATATAATATATAATACAATATAATATAATAATATATAATATAATAATAGAATAATATAATAATATAATCATATAATCATATTATAATATAATTCATATACAACATCTATGATATATAAATATAGTATATATATACATATATATATAATATCTATAAATATAGTATATATCTATAATATATAAATATAGCATATATCTATAACATATAAATTATAAATATAGTAAATATTTATAATACACAAATATAGTATATATTTAAAATATATAAATATAGTATATATCTAAATATATATAATATAAATATAGCATATATCAATATTATGTAAATATAGTAAATATGTATAATATATAGCTATAATATATAAATATAATGTATATCTATAATAAATAAATATAGTATATATCTATAATATATAAATATAGTTTATTATAGTATTTGAACCTTTTCTCGAAATGCAGCGTTTGTGAGTCTTAGTGTAGGGCATGACTGTGAATTTCTCATTTCTTTGTTGCTCAAGAAATCTTTCCTCACGCGGATGCGTGCGCTCGTCCCTGTGGCCATAGGGGCAGCTGCTGGGGGAGGCCTATCTCTTCACTATTGGCTGTGGGTGGTTACTCGCGACTTGGCAGGAGAGGCCCTGGTGACGTTGAGCCGAGCTGCATTGATCTCTTTGGCTCCAACAGTCAACTTTGACCCCTGGCTTCAGGTGCTGTGGCAATTAGGGGGTGCTTTTATCTGTTGGGAGTTACGTGAAGAGATTTTCCAGTGTTTGAAGCTTCTGTTTGCGGTGGCTGTCTTTGTATTGGGGTTTTGTCTTCAAGTTTGGGCTGCTTTACCTGATTTCAGTGATCTCGCGTTTAGGGGACAGCAGTGTCGTCTGGAGCTGCCAAGAACAGATCGGGCTGATAACCTAACCTGCATGGCCGCTGCTGGCGCACATCCTTATGCCATAGGAAGTTTCCTGCTTATCTCTCGTCCACCCAACTGGGATGAGATATGGATAGCTGGCTACAGCATCAATGGCCAGGACATCATTGGCCGCACCACCGATGCGGATGGCAGCGGATGGATTTGGTGCATAGCGAGACCTGCGCAAATGTCAGTCATGGCTCCTGTGGTGGCTGGTGGCATTCGCCGTGCTCCAGCTGGGATTGCCCAGGGGTCGGTGAATTGGCTGTGCACTCCTCCAGATTGCGATACGCAGTGGGAACCAGATGTGATGGAAGTAGTAGCATTGACCCAGGAAGCTGGTCGTATGGCCAATTACATGGTGGACAACCCTGCTTCTTTCCCAGTCAATACGGCCGGCACGGCCGGGGCATTGGTGGCCATGGTGGTGGCACAACAGGCCTTGCTTCCCGGGGGTGTCGCCGTGGGACAGGCAGGTGGAAACCAAGGGGTTGCCGCGCTGGGGTTGCGTGGAGGAGGAAATGCAGCGCCCAGCAATGCAGAGTTGAAAGCCTTGGAGGCTGCCGTGGCCCAGTTGCAGCAGCTGGCTTTGACTTCGCGGTCCGAGAAGAAGAAGGACAAGTCGAAAAAGTCAAAGAAGTCCCGAAAGAAGGACAAGAAGTCAAAAAAGAAGAAGAAGAAAGGAAAGCGGTCCAGCAGTTCAAGCAGCGCATCTTCGCGAAGCAGCAGGTCAAGATCCCGAACAAGCAGCAGCTCAAGCAGTGCTTCCAGTGGCAAGGCAAAGCCGCTGAAGTGGGAGGAGAGGGGAAAAGATCGGAAGGTCACCTACTCCAACCTTTCCCACGTGGAGCAACTGAAGCTGAAAAAGAAAGGAGATTTGATAGCATTTGCTGCAAAGAGCCCCGGCGCCCTTACCGCGCACTTCCTGGCAGGGGTCTATGCCAGACTCTCCAAGGGAACCATCAGCAGGTCGTCCCAATTGAGAGAAGCCAGTGCGGTGAGTTGGGCTCATCAATTCAGTGGTTTGAGCGAGGTGAGGGATCTCAAGGAAGTTCTCACTCTATGCGAGATCCTCGACCATGTCAACCGCAAAGAAGTGGCTCGAGCTCTAGATGTTTTGTGCCAGAGGATCTTGGCCATCCAATCAGCGAAGTCCAAGGGCGGATCATGGGAGAAGGCAGAGGCGTTGGAGCTCACCAACAACCAGAGGACTCTGGCCTCGAGTTCCATGCTGGCCTTGACCAACGCGTGAGGAGGGGCATCCGTCGCTCTTGGCGTAGTATGGGGGGGTATAGTTTGCAGGATGTTGGCTTCGAAGATTTCTACCTACGGGCCGTGAAGGCCTTGGAAGTTGGATTTGGGGCTGCACCTGCTGGGACTGCTCTAGGTGACCAGTTTCTTTACCTCATGTCTATGCTGGGGATGGGTGCGAACAAAGTTAGTTTTGATGCTGCGGGGAATCCTGGCAAGCATGGCGAGTCACCATCTCATGTCTTTCCTTAACGCCTATGTCGAGGGGAGGGTCATTTCTGGCTGGTAAATGTGTTCAGTCTCGGCTGGATAGATTGTGCAGTGCTGGTGGCAATGCGGTGGTGGCCTGCCTTAATTGGATGCATGGAGTGCAGAGGCAAGGGGCTTTGCCTGTTGTCACTGCAGCTCACCGCCGAGTCCACTCACGGATTGAGCGGGCTTTGGAGGCCATGGTGTTGACTGATGAGCCAATTCTAACCAAAAGTGGTTTAGATCATTTTTTGCGGCAATCAGAGTTTTACACTGGTGATGGTGTGACTTTAGCTCTAGGGATTCGTGGTGGTGTTCCTGAAATAGCAGCAGATGTTCCTCTTGCTGATCATCTTAGGGATCGTTTTCCAGTGATGTCTGAACAAGTGTCCCAGCCGGGTCGTTTGCTTCTGGTGTCCAAAAGGAGGCCTCGACGAGTGAAGCGTGGCTACACTTGGCTGGCTCCCACGTATCCTGAGCTGGTGAGACGAAATGTGCAGGCTGGATTACACCGATATAAGAAAGCTTCACAGGTTGCTAGACATAGAGGTGTAAAGGTTCTGGCAGGTGCGTTCGCAGTCAAGAAGGATGATGTCGAAGACAGGGTAATAACTGATCCAAGTGTGAATCAATTACTAGACCCGGAGCTTCTTCCCCGGCCAAAATTTGCTTATATACCTAGTTTGCGAAGTCTGTCAGTTCCTTCTGGAGGGGTGGTGGCAGTGTCAAAGCGTGACGCTCGACATTATTTTCACCGCCTGCAAATAGGAAAGAATTGGCAGCGGTGGCTATGCGGGCCTCCAGTGTCAAGCAGCAGTGGCCGGGGTTCTCAACAACTCTACCCAGCAAGCTGTTCAGCACCTATGGGCTTTGGTCCTTCCGCTGGATGGGCACAGGGGCTTACAGATGTTGTTGCGCATGATGCCAGTCTTCCACCGGGGTGCCGTTTACATCCTGATTTTGTGACCCCCGAAACCCTTCCTGTACGGGGCTCAATTATTGATGATATTTGGGCCTTAGAACACCACGAAGGGGATGAAAGACCGGGTGTTGGTCCTGATTGGCTCGCACGGGCCGAAGCGGCCTGGGTTGTTCGGGGTGTTGCGCCTAATTCCAAGAAGTCAGTGGATGGGGCACAGGGTGAAGAAATACAGGGATATTATGTACATCCTACAATGCATTGGGTTGGTTTGTCCTATGAGAAGAGGCGTTACCTTTTTCAGGCAACTTTTCAGGTCTTGATGCAACGAAGAGTGCATTTCAAAGTGATTGAGCGGATCATCGGAAAGCATGGTTTCCTTCATTCGTGCCGTCCTTGCATGAGGTCAATCTTCAGTGAGACCTATTGCTGGCTGGATGGCAGGCGGAAGGAGAAGACTGGGTTGATAGAATTGCCGATGGGTGTATGGGAAGAGCTTTTGGTTTCCACTATCCTGATCCCCTTTGCAGAGTTCAACTTGTCAAGTAACTGGAGCAACCGGGTGGAGGCTACAGATTCACCTATGTCTGGCTTAGGTCGTTCATTTGGCTATGTCCCTGATAAGGTTGTCAAAGTTTTGGCTCGGTATTCTTCGCATAAGGGTGTCTACACCAACCTCAAGCTCCCCTGGTCAGTAGGTCTCACCAAAGAGCATTCTTGTCCATTGAGAAGGGTTCGGCTGCCAGTTGAACGTATCAAGTGGTATCACGTCGGAACTCCATGGGCACCATCTCATATCACTTTGGGAGAAGCTGATGCAGTTGCATGGGCTGCCGAAGATAGATTGCGGAGGGTTTCAGATGATGGGTGTCGGTTTGTTCATCCTTTGGACTCAGCAGCATGTGTAGGTGCGTTTTCAAAAGGGAGATCTTCATCCACATTGATTAACAAGCGTTGTCGCAGGGTTGCTGCAGTGTGTATTGGTGGGGGTCATGAAGTTTTCTACCCTTGGGTGCCTTCTTCTGAAAATCCAGCCGATATCCCATCGCGATGGTATGAAGAGAAGATTGCAGCACCCAATCACCATTCTGCGTCAGGACACCCGTTTGAAGCTGAAAGTGAGCTGCGGGCTGATGGGCCCGACTATGATTTGCGGATGCTGCCACTTTGGAGCTCTAACACCAAGTTTTTCATTCACTTCTGCTCAGGGCCTGATAGACCTTTTGATTTGGTTGATATGGTTGAGAGGCTTAGTGGCGAATATGGTTTCGATATTGTTGGCATTCGCTTGGATCCTTTAGCTTGGAGTGGCAGCGGCATAACACAGCTTAGCAGTGGTGATTTGTTGCAGGCCAATGTGGGGCATACTGTGCTACAGCTGATATATGATGATAGGGTTATTGGCGGGTTTGCATCCCCTCCATGTTCTACCATCAGTGCAGCTAGGCATGTACCTTTAACATTGCGCGGTGGGCCCCGCCCTTTGAGAAGCCGTGACAACCCGTGGCAACCTCTGGCATACTGCTCACAAAAAGAACGTTTGGCAGTGACCATAGGGAACGCATTGTTTCTTATTTGCTTAGGTTTTTTGGGTGAGATTCGATGCAAGGGTGGCTGGATCGGTTTGGAGCATCCTGCAGACCAAGGAAAGCAACCTTTTCCTTCATTCTTTTGCACCCCTGAAGTTGTAAAATGGATGGCCATGTTTAAGATGCGTTATTGGGTGGCGGATCAGTGCATGTATGGAAGTGTAAGCAAAAAACCCACGGGTTTTCTGTTGGCAGCGAAGAGTCATGTTATTCAGCGCTGGTGCAATCATCGATCCCACAGCGATCTCATTGGATTGGATGCTCAAGGTGGTTTTAGGACTTCTCCAGCAGCCCGTTATTCCAAAGAGTTGTGTGAGGTGTTGGCAGGTTTATTTTTGGAGCAGTTGCATCACAGTTTGAAAGCTGGTTATGCTAGGGCACACAAACCAATCAAGAATGAACCAAGTCTTCACTTTTTGGATCCGTGGCTTCACAAGAAACATGTTTCCTACCCATGGGTTGAGCCGAGTCCAAACTTTCTTGCTTGCGAGCTTGAAGCAATCAACGGTCGAAAAGTACCTTGGGGCACTACGGAGCCTCAACAATAGCCTCATAGAACACAAGTTGACTTGGCGCTTCATGTCTGAAGAAGACCAGGATGCTTTTTTAGCTGAGTGGGTCCTTGACAGTTATGAAAACGGGGAGAGTAAGAATGTTTGCAGCTGGACCCTTTCGGCTGTGCAGAAGATCTTCCCCCGTTTGCGGCTGAAGACATGTTGGAAAGTTTTGGATGTTTGGAACTCTTTGATGCCTGTGAAACAGGCACCTGCGGCTCCCCCTGAATTGATACAAGCAATGGTCATTATGGCAGTGGTGCTCAGCCGACCTCATTTGGGGATGTTGATCTTGCTTTGTTTTGTGGGTTTGCTGAGGGTTCGAGAAGCGCTATCTCTTCGACCGCAAGATCTCATTGTGCACAAGCATTGTGTTATTTTGTGTTTAGGTGTGACGAAGCGCGGCATGGAACAGAAGGTGGTTCTCTCCAATTTCACTGTGGTGCAATTTGTGTCCTGCTTTCTCCAGCGTTTTCCTCCTTTGACTTATCAGACATATCTGCTGAACATCTCCTACTCATCCGCGCTACGCTGGATTCGCAAGCTGGCTGAGATGCTGGGTGCGGGTGACTTGGGGTTGACCACTCACAGTTTTCGTCGGTCTGGAGCTTCAGAACTGGCAAGGCAAGGGGTGAGTCTTCCCGATATCCTTTTGTACGGCAGGTGGCTGTCTGAAAAATCTGCAAGAGAGTATATTCGCCGTGGTGAGGTTGCAATTTATCGTGCTAGAAATGCTTTACATGTCTCCTCTAGTCGACGTATTGAACTCTGGTCTCGCGTGGGGCTTCAGTGCTGGCATTGGTTTGACGTGTTTTACAAGCATGGAGAGCTAAAGATCGATGTGCGCAAACTTAGCATGGATAAACTGTCCTCTGTGGAAAGAGTTCTTTTTGGAGGTACCTGACGGTTTATAGGTAGCGTTGGAAATAGCTGGAATTTTAAACTTTCAGTGAGCGCGCTGGAGAGCAGCTTTTTCCTTTTTCAGTATCAGCTGTGACATTGGTCACAACTGAAAGAATGCCGAAGGCAAGTACATACAGCTCCCTGTGCATGACAAAAGTTGGCTGTGCATCTCAGTTCCCGAAAGGGGTTTCAGTACCGAAGCGATTCCGACTTCACAATTGAACCTTTTCTCGAAATGCAGCGTTTGTGAGTCTTAGTGTAGGGCATGACTGTGAATTTCTCATTTCTTTGTTGCTCCCCTTGCTAGCGCACCCTGGCCCGCCCTTTTGCTGGGGGAAATAGCTGGAATTTTAAACGGGGTTTCAGTACCGAAGCGATTCCGACTTCACAAATATATATAGTTATATATATATATATCTACATACATATATATAAATATAGTATATATCTATAATATATATATAATATCTAAAATATGATGTATATATATATATATATAGACATCATATCGAAATAGCCCAGTACGATCTGGCTTCAGTCCGTGTTGCAATTGTTGTCCGTTGGACGGTGTTTTGCGAGGTGAATCGTCACCTTTTGAAGGACCTCATTGCCCAGGGCCTTTGGAATGAGGAGAAAATGGGTGGTAACTGATAGATTGATTCCCGAAGAGGAGTTGACCAACAGAAATGGTTATAAATCACCCCGAAACATGGATAAACATGGGGACTTCATGGGATATATGAATTCTAAATGGGGTGCACCCCCCAGAATGACATTTTTTTTTGAAGGATATGATAAACCATGGGATTTTTGGATACCATTGTAGCACATTTTCAGACAAATGCAAGAACAATTGGCGGCCGAACCAAACAGATATTGGGATACCCCTAACTAATGTAGGATATGGACATAATTAGATTTCATGGGATATTCATGGAATCTATGGGATTATAAGCATGTCGACTTGACGCTTTGCTACAATGGCTGCCAGCTGATATTCGTGGCATGGCGCCACCTTTCGGGGATGGGATGGAGGTGACTTGCCATATCTTTCAGCTCAAACGACCGGTCGGAAAGCCTCGGCCTTTTAACAAAACATCACATCCATATGATCTCATGGCGACCATGGCGGCTGCGGCTCAGTCTTTTATGCATTCTGGGAGCTGAGACAAGGATCTGTGAAGATGAGATTTCGGGAGCCGTTGATTCAGCTGATGCATCACTGCTACAGATGAACTTAAAGCTTAACTCGTTGCCCTCGTGCCGTATCCTGGCATCTAATCTGGCCCAACTGGAAACACTGGCCAGTGAAACACCAACGGATCAACATAGGAATTCTGTTCGGAATGATCCCAACTGGTTGGTTTTTCCAGCGGATTTTTAACATTTCTGGTTCCGAAAGATCAGTCCGTGAGAAAGTCAATCCGCATAGATGTCACGGTTTTTTTGGTCTTCATGGCCAGACCAGAGCTATTGGGATCAGACCAGAGCTGGACATCCAACAAAATGGTAACACCATCGATCTCATAGGGGAAGGTGATCCCGCAAACCAGCTGATTCCCAGAAATTCGTGGTTGAACTCCGCATGAAAAACCTGCTTCAGTTACTTCAACTATAGTTTGAACATGTTTAAACCACTAAGATGCCAGGCATTTGGCAGCACACATACATCCTGAACGCCAGCTGTGACCATTTCGGACTTGGCCCAGCCGCGGGTTTTTTGGTCACCGGCGCCAGCCGAAGTGGCACACGCTTTCTGACCAACCTGTTTCAAGGACTTGGATCTCTGGAAGGCAACAGACTGGGGATGGTTACCGGGATGGTTGGGGATGGGTTAGCCACTTAGAAACCACAGTGCTTGGGTATATATAATTACAATTATAATTATATATAACTATATATATATAATTACTGTATATAATTATATATATATATATAATGATATATATATAGTTATATATATATAGTTATACATACATGTATATATGAAGAAAAACTGCGAAGATCCTGAATCACAAAGTCGCTGACCGATTTTAGAGGTTTTTTTGGATGGATGAACAGTCGCTGACCCTGAAACCGTGTGAAAACGTGGAACATTGCGGGAGTAGGGTTGCACCTGGCTTCGAAGCAGAGAAGCACCAGGTCTTTGGCCGTGTTGGACGTTGCACACAGGTTACTGGTTACAGTACTGTTACATTCACCACGAAAACTTGTGCTTTTGGAACATGTTTTTTTTTGTTCCGAAAGCACCACCACTTATCCTGGCGTCGCAGAATCACATGTGTTTTTTCCCGAAAAGAAACACCTTTTGGCACTCCTGTGTGTCATCCAAGGAATGAATGTGAGCCATCACTCTGACCCAGTGCGTGGTGCAGATGGGGCTGTGAGTTGGGTCCATGGATTCCATCGTTCCGGATGCGTGGTACCCAGTTGGCAGAGCCCCAGATTTTTCTCCAAGGCTTTTCTAATGCTTCGGGATCCGCTGAAACAGAGCCTCGGTGATGTCGACCTGTCGATAGCAAACGGTGACAAGCAATGTCCTTCAAACTCTGGAATCTTACACCATGATGTGACATGATGTTGCATGTAAGTATAGTTTTTTTATTTTTTATTTTTTTAAATCATTTGGACGATCTTTATTTTGGTGTGAAATGTATGTTCCTTTGATCTATTTGGATGTTTTTTTCTTGTTTCGGATTTTCTCGAAGGGATTTTCCTACCTCGCTTGCGTCAGGATCCCTTCGAGGGCCGAGAGCACTGACGATTTCGACTGGTTGGAATTTGCTCGTTGTGCTGCAGACTTTGGGCCCCTTGGGCCATCAACGAGCGCAACGGCTGTGGATCGATTGCGCTTGGCGCTCAAACACTATGTCCTGCAGACTCTCGGTGCGGTGCAAGAAGCGACGAAGGAAGTTGAAGCTAAGACCATGAAAAATGTCATGAGAATGTTTAATAATTGTTTAATAATGATGTTTATAGATCTTCGAAGTCCGGTTCTACTCCTCTCCTTAGGGTGAGAAGGAAAGCCAACCAGGGAGTGCCTCCGGAAGGCATCAGGCAACCCCTAAATACCTTGGACCTTCACTGGAAGCTTAATATGGGTGCCATTTGGATGGTTGAGTCAACGTGGCGTGTACTGATGACATTGGATGACATGCACATGAGAGAAGCTTCTGAAAGATGATTCATGAGTTGATGACAGTTGATGTTAACTTTTGCATTGTGCAGTTTAGCTTCAAACAAACTGTTTGGTAGGCATGCGGCATGTTGAAAACGTTCTGTACGTGCAACGCTGTGATTTGCTATTGAGCTGCAGGAACAGTTTTGTGGAGAAGTATGCGGAGAAGTCCTTCTGGCTGGAAACTTGCCAAGCAGTGGAACAAAGATTGTACTTTGGCCAAGGTGTTTTTGCAGTAGTTTGCCATAATTTCCCCGTGTGACCCTACGGTTTTGTTCCCTTCCGCAATTTTTTGCTTGACGATAAAGGCTTCCTTGCAAAATTCTGTGCAAGACCACCAGCATTTGTTTGGACCTTTCACATGGATTCTGTTCGAAAAAGGTCAAGTTTATATATATATATATATCATATATTTATATATCATATATATATACACATATATCGTATACATATATCGTATATATATATATATGTATCATATATATCATATATATATATATATATATTTATTTATCATATATATGTATGATATATATATATATATATGATATATTTGTAAAAATATGTATCTATAGGCTTGTCCCACCTCTTGGAACTACAAAACATGGGGGGGGATGGGGTGGGATGTTAACGTTCATGTGAACTTGCAGAAGCAGTTGATTGGGAGAGGTCCTCAAAGCTGTGCGAGACTTGCAGCTCCCGTCACGAGACAAAAACCAGAACTGGTCTCACATGTTTCTGGGAGAGGTCTTCAAACACCGTGTTCATGTTCATACTAATGCTGATGATGATGATGATGATGTCATGATGATGATGTCATGATGATGATGATGATGATGATGATGTCATGATGATGATGATGATGATGATGTCATGATGATGATGATGATGTCATGATGATGATGTCATGATGATGATGATGATGATGTCATGATGTCATGATATCATGATGATGATGATGCTGATGATGATGATGATGATGATGACCCTAATGAAACTTGTCATTTCCGGGACAAAATTTCGTCCCGGAATTGACAAGTTTTACCACCCTAATTCGGGTTGTGCGCAGTTCCAAGAGGTGGGACGAGGCTATATATATATATATATATGATATTATAACATACATATATCTTCACGACGTCATAAGTCATTACTGGCATCTTTTTTTCCATCGTATGATGGGCGGCCACACCTAAATCTCGCTTTGAAGGCCCTGATTGGTCCATGGTGGGCTTGAGGTTTATATCCTGGGATTTAGTATATTTCAAATGATTTCAATAGTTATCCATCGTTATTTCACCATAATGCCACCGTAAATCACCCAAATCCACCAAAAATCCATTTTATTCACCATAAATCCACCACAAATTCACCATAAATCCATGGTTATTTCCATAAATTCATCATCTAAGGAAGACCTTGACGCACATCACCCAGCTACTTTGGACATCATCCTCGGGCTCTGCGAAGAATTTGCGTCGACGGCCTGCAACGAGGTGAAACTCCGGACGCTGATCTCAGGCGCAAGTTTTCTGGATTGTAAATTTATACAATAGTATAATATCTTAATTTACATATATAAGATATATTGTGAATATCAATTGTATATTATGTATATATCAGGCGAATATCAATTTATATCACAATATATGTACATATACATCTAACATAGTATAACATCTTAATATATATATATACATTCTATAATCACATATGACACAGAGAAAAACGAGAAGGGAACCCAGGGGATAGAGATCTTGCAACATGAGCGCGGATAGCACGTGCTATTAGCTTTGTGTCAAAGCTTGTGCGTCACAGAAAAAAACAAAGTAGATACATCACTATCAGAGTAAGACAATGTCATTGATATGCTAAGCATATGAATCGATAGAATTTCAGACGGAACCATTTCAGCACTAGCTTGACAAACCGGTTTTTACATCGTCTCGCTGCATTTGTGAGGTGCCTTACCGATCGATTCAGAGCCGTTGGGAGCGGCTTGGTAGACGAACAGGGCCATTGGCAGGGTCGAACAGGACAGCAATTTTGCAGGGGACATTTCCCAAAAAAGAACTTTAGTATACTTTCAGTCCTCTTTCTGGTTGGTGGTTTGGAACATTTTTTATTTTTCCATATATTGGGAATGTCATCATCCCAACTGGCTTTCAGTCCATCTTTTTTAGAGGGGTTAGCAGCAACCACCAACCAGCAATATTTATAGTAATATACCCCCATGGTTAACCAGTGATTTTCCATTAAAAATGGTGATTTACCCATTAAAAAATATGAGAATTACCATGGGTTTCGGATGGTCAACTTTAGACTTTGGCTTCCAATGTCGGCAGCCAATCCCCATGGTTTTTTCGCAACGTCGTCAGGTGGGGTGGCCGCAGCTGGCCTTCATCGATCGGCCATTTGCCGCGATGGCTCAGACGTTGATTCGAAGACACGGCAAGGACATTTCCGTTGCCTGGCCCAAGATTACAGGCTTCGAATAGTGGGATATATATATATATGTATACTGTATATATATATGATGTATATATACATATATATATGTATGTATGTATGAATGTATGTAATGTAATGTAATGTAATGTAATGTAATGTAATGTAATGTAATGTAATGTAATGTAATGTATGTAATGTATGTAATGTATGTAATGTATGTAATGTATGTAATGTATGTAATGTATGTAATGTATGTATGTATGTATGTACGTACGTACGTAGGTATGTATGTATGTATGTATGTATGTATGTACGTACGTACGTAGGTATGTATGTATGTATGTATGTATGTATGTATGTATGTATGTAATGTATGTATGTATGTATGTATGTTATTTAATGTAATGTAATGTAATGTAATGCAATGTAATGTAATGTAATGTAATGTATGTATGTATGTAATGTAATGTAATGTAATGTAATGTAATTATGTATGTATGTATGTATGTATGTATGTATGTAATGTATGTATGTATGTATGTAATGTAATGTAATGTAATGTAATGTAATGTAAGTATGTATGTATGTATGTATGTATGTATGTATGTATGTATGTAATGTATGTATGTAATGTATGTATGTAATGTATGTATGTAATGTATGTATGTA